CACTTTTGTCAAATTCAAAAATATATGCAGCAGCAGTAGAAGTCCTACTTTGTGCTGCGTTTGCTGCAGTAACATTGGATTAAATGATGGAGGGAAATGTGATATCAAAACTTCCTATGGTAGAATATTTGTTAGTGGCTTCTTCTTGTTTGAGACTATTTGTTGAAAAAATTCAGTGTAATTTTTGTAGGAGTAAAAATAAAAAAGGAATCTTACAACCCATTATTGGAAAGTTGGTGCTTAGATTAAAATGATTTTAGCCTTAAAAAAAACTAAAGACTGTGACAAAGAATCCAAACCAATAAAAAGCAAGGAATAACTTATTCGCTTAATGGATGATAATGATGTGAACATTGTTACAGACTTTTTTGTTTCGACGTTGTTATCAAAAAAGGGCCATCAGAAGAGGAGCTCTTTCAAAGAGAGGGGGATGACTGCTGTTTGGAGCGGGGGAGGAGGAGAAGGAGAGAGGAGGAAGGACAGAGATGGGATGAGAGACTGCAAGAAAATTGGGAAAACTGTCTGGTGAGTTACAAGTATGTCTATGTATGTGTGTGTGTGATATGTTAAAGATGTACAGTACAGGAGAAGAACATAGACAGACATTTAGGGAGGGAGGAGGGATGAGGGAGGGAGGAAGTACAGGAGCTGAAAAGGAAGAGAGAAGGACACAGACAGAAAGACTCTGACATACCTGTCTCTTGTCAGGAGTTAAATCTGTCCTACCAGGACTTGGGTGATCCTTTCCAGAAAGAGAATTTCCTCCGGATCCTCCGCCGGTTGATCCGTGTGGAGAAACTACAACTGGTTGACAACTCTCTCACCAACCTGAGTTCTGTACGTCTGCCAAGGTATTAACCACATTACCCAGACTGCACCACAACTACCTCATATGGTAAACAAACTGTGCAAATTATTTATATTTATATTTAATGAAAGATAAAGGAATCTATAAATCATTTTTTTGATGTTCAGGATTTTTTGACTTTATAACAGTGTGTATTAGACTCCAAACATATGTTGATACAATTTGTTTCCAAATGGCAGCCCTGCCAGCTTTTTGAAAGTTGCTTCACACTGTTTTAAATGGTTTAATTTGGAGGTGAATTTAAATATAATATTTCAGAGCTTTCTTTATCTTGTTGAAATTCCTCTATACCCCTGCTGAAGTTGGATGTGAGAGCTGTTGCTTTTGACAGTGCTACTAATCTGTGTTTTATATCTGTTCTCATTTTATCATCATTTTATAACATTTCCATAGCCAAAGAACTTGATTATGCAGAATTTGCAGTTTGAGTGCCTGTTATTAGGTCTCCATTTAACTATAGTTTTTTTTATTATATTTCTTCTTGTAATGTTTCTATTATTTAGTCAGAAGGCAGTATTTCTGTTTTGTTTCCAGTTTATATGGCACCACAAATGAACACTACTCCCATTATTCAAATGGCTTTTTTACTACTTCACCTAAAATAGTTTTATTTTAGATGGCAATAACCACAAAAAGAACACTAAGCATTATTTTTGCTTCCTTTGTGCAGGTGCAGAATTCTAAATCTGCACCGTAACCACCTGGTGTGTCTGCGTCAGCTGCCAAAGCTCCCAGCAGTGGAGCACCTTTGTCTGTCTGAGAACGCCATAGGCTCCCTGGGGGGACTGGGAACTCTGGAGAACAGCCCGCTGCGCTCCCTAAACCTGACTCACAACCCAGTGACCTTCACTCAGGACTACCGTGCACAGTGAGGAGATAGTAAAGGGAGAGATTACATTCTTGTGTCTTTTCTTCACCTTCTCATTGTTGTCATTATTCATTCTCTATGTCTCTCTACCTTTATCTGTCCAGTGTTTTCTCCTGTTTGCCAAAGCTTGAGGTCCTGGATGGAATCCCTAAGTTGCCAGAAGACTCTCTGCCCACCAGACTACAGTTCCCAGAAACCACCAGGATGTGCAACATTTTGTGACATTCTTCCATGGATGGACGTGTACTGACTCAGATCTCCCAATCCTGTTTGCAGAACTTACTGAAGTGATGGTGAACGCTTCAGCAAAGTACTCCACACTTTGAAATTGCACTGAGGGTTTCACTGATCTCTTCAGCGGAAAGCCAACTGGCAGTCAGTCACTAACACAAACTGTCTCACAACTGTTGCTCAAAATCAGGTTTTAGGCCACACTGAAAATACTGTCAGAGACACTGTAATGGTAATGTGCTTGAACGCCACTTAAAATGCTGTTTAAATAAAACAATATATTAATCATATTTTTTTAAACTTAGATTTTTTTATGTATTCGGAATTTGGATAATAAATCGAAAATACAGTGAAATCCTTTTTCCATTTCTGCATCCATTTCTTTTCAGATTTGAACTAAAAGTAGTCCAGTACAGAGACACATATCAAATGGTTCTGACCAACTTTGGTGACTTTGATGGAGGGAAAGAGAGAGGAGGCTAATCAGATTGCTACATGAATCATCTCTATCAGCTTGACATCTCTCAGGACTTGCTGAACCAACACATTCGCACTCCTCTGTCTGCTGCAGATTGCTCCAAACATACAGACAAGACAAGACAGATTTAACTGTGTTGCTAAGCAGAAATGCAGCTAAAATGTAGCTTCTATTATACATGTAGATTTGCATTTTTTTTAATTTTTAGCTAGGTTTGTACTCTACATGTGTAATATATGAGAAGAGAAACAGGACATCCGCTATCGAGGCTTATCAAACATTTAGTGTCCAGACTCCCTAGGATAATGGCCTCCTGTGTACTCTGACTGACTGGGTAATGACCCGTGAGCCTCATGCCATGCAGCAGGTCACACGAACACACACACACAAAACATATTCACAAAGAGTAATCCTTGGTAGATTGCAAAGCACTCACACTTTCAGGATTTAATTCCCAGTACTGTGTATATTCTTGGTACTATAAAGTGCTTTGGATAAAAGATACAAACTGTAATACATAAAGTAGTGTTGCAGGGGTTACACAGAGACATTGCCCCCTCCTGTAAGCTGGAGCTGATTTATTCATACGTTGCAGCAGTGTATTATCCTTTGATAATGGTTTCATTTTCAGCCTGCACCTGAAACATAAACACACTTTGTTATCTGATATCGCAAAACACAAGTATGAATACTGCCATACAGGCACCCAAGCATATATAGTACACACGTATCAAGTAAGAACTGGGGCACACAAACACACAAGCAGCACGTGCCTTCTCTTTCCTCACAGTAATGCGGAGAAACACAATTTAAGCAGCCGATATCTCTCTAACAAGCATACAGCCAGGCACAAACTACCAGTTACATGCCTCATTGGGATTCGTTTAAGTGTGGAAGATTGTTTTGTGCAATTGCGTGTTATTTGTGTGGTGTGCGTGCGTGTGTGTGTGTGTGTGTGTGTGTGTGTGTGGAGATAGAGAAAGTCTCCGGCTGATGAATGAGAGATCATTACTGCTGCAGAGAAACAGTATAATGAGCTCACTGGATCCTTATGTACTGCAAACACGATCCAGGTTAAGCAGAGAAGCTGGTGTCTTTACCTGATGGTTTCAAGATGTTATCAGTTATCTTTGCAGCACATTTTAACGCTGCGATGGAAGAGGAGTTTGAGTTGATTTCCCAAAAATTGTGGGGGGTGGGGGTGGTGGGGAGGACATCTTTTCATAGCTTGGAGCTTCAGCTTTCAAGTAAATCTTGCTCTGGTGTTAAATGGAAGGTTTTGAGAATCGGTGGCAGTCGTGTGGGCATGCGTCTCAAGATAGACTCCGGCTGTAGGCAATCGTCATGTTAAAATTATTCATGCTTGGTAATTCACCCATGAAGTGATGACTGAGAGAGCGTGAAAATGTGAGGAATGTGGAGGAGTTATCATCTCTGCCATTGCTTGTCACTGTCAAAATGTGCATGTGTGTGTGTGCGTGTGTGTGTGCGTGTGTGTGTGTGTGTGTGTGTGTGTGCCTCCCTGTGGCCTGCTATTAGCACAGTAATGAGACACCTGTTACTCCCATACTCCTTCAGCATCCCTGTGGGATGCTGGGCAGAAATAGAGAGAGACGGAGACGCAGTGAGAGACAGAGAGGGAAGAAATGGAGAGAAAGCACCGGGATGATAGGGGCTGAGACTGAAAGAGAGACTAAGGAGGATTGGTGATTTGATTGAGACTGTGTTGGGGACAAATGTTGTTCATTACAGGTAATTGCCTTTCTCAGTCAACCCCCTCTCGTTTGATTTTCATTTCATCCTGATTTGTCGGTTTATTTCCCATGCGTACGAGTTCACCCACAATCCTCTCACTTCTCCATTCTCAACCAGAGAGGGTAGATAAGGAACAGAGTTGGCAGGATTTATACTTGGAAACATTTGTGGCTTGCAGTGCAGATGTGAACAACTGAGCATCCATGATATGTGAACTCAGTGATGAATATTTATGATCTTTTCCCCTTCTGCTTGATACATATTTATGATCATCTTGTCTCTGTTTGAAAATAGACTTGACAGAAGAGTTGCACACAGCTTAAGTCAAGTTATGAGCTTGCTGTAAGTCAAGAATGTGTGCAGCTCTCTGCTTTATTAGTCATGTCAGGCAACAAACAGCAGCAGAGCATCCTAACTGCTTCTTCTGAATCTCTGAGTAATAATATGAAAAGCAATAAAATTTCAGTTAAAAAAAGAAAAACTAAATTGTAAATGAAACACTCAAATTTGAAATTGAAATCTGAAGTATTGATCTTGAAAACCTCAAAAATTACAAACAATAAATATGTATGTAATCAAACAAATTATAAATAAGTATGAAGTGTTAGCCTCCAGCCACGTGCTCTCAGAGAAGTATCACATTAGTGCTGTAGCTGTCTTTTTTCCACACAGGTATGATGGATGAGTAAAGATAGCCCACAACCTGAATCTAAACCTTGAGGAAACATCTGGAAAAACTCACCTTTAAACTGTATCTTCAAAAAGGAGTGAAGAATTAAGAGAACACAATCACAATTACCTGAGATCCTTCAGCCTCTTTATTCCATTCACCGTTCAGGTAACAGAAATGTTTCAATACAATCAAAATCCCACTTCTTTGTATCAAATATAACTGGCAGAAAAATGTACAAATTGTCAGCATTTGTTTTACTATACATTGTACAGTAGACTAAAGATGTTGCATTAAATTGCATTCATTTTTGTGAATTTAATTCACACCAGCAGTCGACATGAAATAGCCCTCTTTTTAAGGCTATGCTCAAGCAATATGCAAGAGGTTCACTGGCATGCTCTTATCTCTCCTGTCCTATTGAAATGCTTTTCCAAATGTAAAATAAGTAAGACCCAGAAGAGGTTTCCAAGAATGGAAAGGCACATGTCAGAGTGACACTTTCAGCACAGAACGGCTTCACCAGAAATGTCTCTTTGATTGACATTTGCAGAAATATCCAGTGAAAATGCTCCTGTGTATCAGCTTCAAGAAGCCGGTGAAAGCCATTATGAGACAAACAAGTTCAGTCAAGGGGGGGGGGGGGCTTTTTACGATTGTCAGAGTTGTAACAATGAACAATAAATAACAGAAAACGACTTGTTCGATTGGAATGCAAGATGTAAATTAAAATTTGAGCTCTACAGAGTATACAACTGTTTGATAAAAACATACATATAAAGGCCTGACCATGAGGACATTAGAATAACATAATTTATTTTGGTTTCTTTACACAAAGAAAATACATTCTCTGCCTGTCTGCTGTTAATAAAACAGAGCTAGACAGGCAATCAGGCAGAAGTGCGAGTAGGCAGAAAAGCAAATTAATAAAAAAAAAAAAAAAACAGTATATATATCCCATTTCCGTCCTATAAATTCTGTCCATTTCCACAGTGTGAGCTGACCAGTTCCAACCCCACAGTGTTTGGAATAGCATCCCATCTTCCGGGCATAATATCCCAGTTTTCCTAATTGGAATTCTGAATGAATGGCTGCTTTTATTCCTTTGAGAAACAAGGGAAAGATAGACCTGATAGGCTCTACAGGCAGCCAAAAAGGCACTGCAGCTGGTTCAAGCCTGCATCTGTCCTACATCTCTGCCCTCCGATTGGTTCCCTTCTCTTGACCAGCTGTATCCTCCTCTACCTCCTCTTCTTCCTCTTCGTAATTCTCTTCCTCATTATCCTCTGCGTCTTGTCTGTGTTGCCCCTTGTTTCTTGGTCCCTCCTGGTTTTTTACTTCATCCTGGAGAAAATCAGAAAACAAAATGATTTAATGGTCATCATATGCAAACTTGTGAACATCCAACATTATAGATTTTCACACTAAAGATGATCATTTTAGACATCAACAGGTGTACTGACACAACTCCAGATTTGAAATTATATTATTTTTCTTCATGTTTACTAATTAGTCTCAGAATCCTGTTTTTACATATCCATTTACATCCCCCGATAGAAATCTATGGTTTGTGACTCTGTAACAGGACAATGACTGTTTGCATGCCTCCATGTTTTGTCTGCTAATCTGTCTACAGGACTGTAACACACAAGATTGTAATTAATTCTGTTGTAAATATATGAGAGCTGAGGTGTTTGTGTAAAGGTTCAACTGGAACAGACCAACTGTACAGCTGTGCATGAATGAAGCTGAATGAAGTAAAAGCTCCACTGGGCTCAAATTACAGAGAAACAAGTACATTCACTCAACAGGTGACAGAGTATGCAACACAAGTAAGAGGGGGGGGGGATATAAATAAATTACTCTCGCTCTCCCTAAGAGGTCAGAAGTTAGGGTCAGTTACAGAACAGAAAGTAGCAGGGAATCTTGCTCAAGGACACTTCAGCAGGGTACAGTGCTAGTTCCTCATAAGGTCTGTACATTTTGGAGATATCACTAATGTGTGCGAGCTTCTCTGTTCAAACAGATTTCCTCTGAGGACAAATTGTATAATCCAAACCAGGTGGAAACCTGACACCCCGATAGACTCGCCACCTGATCTCCCTCATTTACCATCACATGCACAGGCTGGGTTCAAGTTACCCGAACAAAACTCAGGTATGCGATCACACTTGAACTAAAACAAGTGAATCCCTGTGCAGCAAAAATGTCAGAGCAGTGAGTATGTCCGGTATGAGTAGTGTGCATGAGTATGCACACTGCTAATTATGTTTGTAGGGAAAGCACAGCAAAACCAGGCATTTCACCCGAGTTGCTGAGGTGGTGGGTGAGTGCATTTCCTAGCCACCTCCTGGGCAACTGGGAGGTAAATTTTTAATAAGCTTTTTAAAAAAAATCATAACCAGTTTGGGATGTGGGAATAAAATGCAGTACCGAAGAGCTGTGAATGCTTGGAGGAAAAGTTTACTGGTTCCCCACAGAGGAACCTACCTGTTCTATGTTTTCCTCGTTATATGGATCCTCTCCTTCCTCTTCCACCTCCTCCTCTCTCTTCTGCCCACCAGCTATGTCCTCCTGGGCCTTTAGAACAGGGATAACAAGTGAAAGGGGTTCAATGGTAGACTGATTTTACAGATGAAAAATGAAACTTGAAGTTTTCCCAGTGGATTGAAACAATGTGGGACATATTATTCATATTTGTGTAGTGTTTGGTGTTAAATCTGCCTCCCCTGCATGTCATTTCTTCCCTTCTTCTTCTTCTTCTTCTCTCAGTATGTAAAATGTGCATCTGAGCATGTGTATTACAGACCTCATCCTCCACTTCCTCCTGGTACTGGTCGTCCAGGTTGTCCTCCTGTTGATCTGGGTTTCCAGCCATCTGAACACACACAAAACACACACACACATATTCAAAACACTCCGTACAGGTTATTACTGATCTCTTCATTAAACTAACCCAGAGGGTTAGTTGCTCTCTCATTCTTCCCTGACCCCATACTCACCACCAGTTCCTCCTCTACAGCAGGTTGCTCAGGGCCGGGGTGCGCGTCTATGTGCTGGGCCGGCGCTGCCGGCTCCTCTTCCTCTTCTACCACCACCTCTTCCTCTCCTGCAACCCTGTGTTGCGGCCGCTCGTCCTCAGCCTCCTCAAACTCATCCTCTCCCTGGTTGTTGGGGTCGTCCTCGGGGTCCAGCTCACCATCTACACCACCCTGTAGAGATCGTGGTAAAATAACACGGGAAGAGAAGAGAGAAAGGATGAGATACTGTAATTAATGGGATAAGTGGGTTGATATTTGTGTAACAGGCATTGACATTAGAATAAGAGCAAGAGATAAAACTGTAATGTGGAGGATTAATAACTGCTCCTTGGGACAGTTAGTGTACTCTAGTGTATTAATACATCCTTGGTTTGATTGATGGATTGAAGGAAGATGAAGTGATGATGCCAGTGTGAGGCAGTTGGCATGGAGGATGAAAGAATAGACTTCTGGTTGGATGGCAGAATGAATGGATTTCTGAATGGATGTATGACGCATGATACACTGGTGTGAATGTTAATGTGAGTGAATGAGCTGAAAGGATAGACAGATGATTAACAGATGGAGTGAGCAGGATGAATGGATAGATGGATGGCGAGTTACCTGCTGATGTGGTGGCACTCTGTGATCTGCTTCTTGTTTTTCCTCCTCCTCCTCATCCTCGTGTGGCTTATGAGCTGCTTATGCGCACACACACACACACACACACACACACACACACACACACACACACACACACACACACACACACACACACACATCTCTGAGCTCTTCAAATACCATCAGACACTGAGAAACCTTCTTTCAAAGAATATGCTACTATAATGAACATTCTTAAGTATCTGACTGTTGACCCCTGGCAGTCTGTCTCTCTCACCTTCATCTTCAGTGTGATGGTCGTCTTCTCCCTCAACAATATCATTGTCCATGTTCTCATATTCTGTCTTCTTCCTAATAACAACAATGACAGAACAGGCCAGTCAGCAGGGCATAGGCTTTATAAGCCACATCAAAACAGATTTATTAATGTTGAGAAACAAAGCATGTGTTTAAAAATTTACTGCTTGCCACATTGCAGTTTCTTTTTCAATAGTCTTCTTCTGAGCTATCAGTACATATCTAGCTGGATCTCTAAGATACTTTATAGATATATTTGTGTAGTAGAACTGTTCCAGTTTGCACATCTGTATGTACACACCCAGTTCGTCTTATCTTTTGTAATTCCTGCAAACTCCCTGTGCACCGGATTTTAAGTGATTCCAACCGATTTCAAATCTGACCTTTGGTGTTCTTCTCTCATCAGCTGCTCCCGTCTGTCGGCCTCCCGGTGCTGCTGCTGCTCTCTCTCCTGCTCCTCCTTCAGCCTCTGCTCTCTCTCTTTCAGCACCCTCTCCCTCTGCGCCTGCAGGGCCTCCTGTCGCATCTGGATCTGCCTGCGCTCCTCGGCCCTCTGAGCCTCCAGGCGCTGCTGCTCCTGCTGCTGCTCGTAGGCCGACTTCACATGCGCCACCTGGGCGTGTGCCTCGTGCTGCAGCTGCATGTCCTGATTAAAAGGTTTCTTATGTTAAAGTTTTAAATGACATAACAGTCACTCTAAACTAGTAATAGTCAAATGAGATACAGGAAACCTAAGTTAGTTCAAGGCCAATTTTAACCCTGTTGTAGATAAGACAGAAAAGTGCTGACCGGTTGTGGCTGGCGTCTCTGACGGTCCAGTGCGTTCTCATCCGGCTGTTCCTGTTCTGGCTCCTCTCCCTCCTCCTCCTGCTGCTCATCCTGTGGTTGGTCCGGGTCCTCCTCCAGCTTCTGAGGCTGTCCTGCTTGAGCCATCTCCTCCTCTGCCAGCTCCCTCCTCCTCTCTGCCTCTCCCTCTCCATCCTCTTCCTCTTTCTCTGACACGGTGTTTTGGGATACGGTGGGATGGGACTTGATGTTGGACGGGGCATGCGCCTCCTCTACTAGGTGGTCCAACTGAGAAGACAGCAACAAGAGAAATCATTTTCATATTTGCTGTGTGCATATGGTCTTGATAGTAAAGGGATCCCACAGAATCTCCCATTACCCTGGACTCCTGGTGAGCCTGGTGACCTTCTCGGGCTGGGTCACCTTCATGTGGCTGTTCCAGTATCATAGCGTCCTGGGCGTTATGGACATGGGATTCAGGAGCTATGGCGGCAGCAGGAGCTTGCGGCTGCTGAGGAGCAGGGTTTTGCTCAGGCTGTCTCAGATTGGGCACCCTGTTCAGAGAGTCCTTCAGCTGCTTGTATTCATCCACCTGCACCTAAAGGGAACAATATACACACCAAACAATAAAACTTTCACTGATTTGGCATTTTAAGAAATATTTCACAAAATGTTTTTCTATATTAAAAAGAAAACAAACTTCTTAAAAGTTAAATATTATCCAAATCAAACAGGTGTCAAGTCCAGTTTAAACTATGATTTAAAACTGGAAAATATCTGGTTAAAGAACAAGCGAACAAGACTACAAATGTGACCAGACACTGGACGCGGCATCTTTCAGCACCTGACAATTTTGTCTGTGCTGCCGAAACATCTTGGTCAGTTAAAGGACTGAGCTACACCCATCCAAAAGACTTTTAACAATATTGCTGGACATTTAGTTGCTACCAGAAAACTTTTGAGGTTTGAGACCCAGCCCCTAAATACAGATTTAAATACTGTATGTTGAAAAAGTATCAATATATTCTCCTGAGGCAAAAAAAATTGTTTCTTTTCTAACAAACCATCCAGTCTATGCCAACATACCATTAAATGACACCATTCTATTATACAGTACAAACACACACACTTTGAAAACAGGCCAGAGGGTTAAATTCTAAGAATTCTTTCTAAATTCCTGCCCTCTCTGTTTGTCTCGCTCCAGTCCCTCCATTATATCTTTCTGGCTGATTGGCTGCAACGTGCTTTAGATGTACTGCTCTGACAGCCCTGACTAAACCAAACCCCCTGGAGTGAAGGAAAGCGTTTTGTGTGTGATGTGTGTGTGTGTGTGTGTGTGTGTGTGTGTGTGTGTGTGTGTGTGTGTGTGTGTGTGTGTGTGTGTGTTTGTCCAACTAGAATCACTGATGAAGAGCAGGACAGGCTTTAAAACCAATTAGCAAATGCAGACAGACAGACTGACAGACAGAAAGAGAGAGCGAAAAAGAGAGGAGTGAGCTACTATCCATAAATGCAGACGAGAAGGAGGAAAGCATTTCGAACAAATCAGCAGAGTACTGCAGATTCAATAAACCACTGAGGTACTTCAGAGGTCATTTTCAAGGAGAAACAGCAACATCTGGACTAATCATCCAAAAAAACAAAACAAGCAACACGTTTTTCGGCCATCTTTTTTTCCCCGTCTGCTTGGGATTATGCAGTTTACTGCAATAAACATTTCAGCTGTACTGAGAAGGTCAAAGTAAAGGTTACAGTCAGGCTGAGAGGAATGCAGAGCAGAGGAGCGGATGTTTTAGTTGCTCTGGGAACATGCTGGCTACAGAACTTTATCTTCAGTTTTCCCGTATGACCTCCCTTTTCATCAGCTCATTAATTCCTCATTAGTTTTGATAAATAAAAAGGTTCAATCAGATGAGTACAACAGCAACACACCCTCCTTAACACCGAGTCTTTTTATTCCATTTATACTGTCCTGGGCTCTGTAGCTTCTCTGCTAACATGCTAAATGATAACACAAATCTCTTATCTGTCAATGTGACTAACTCTGTGTCAAATCATCTCTCTGTGAAGCAACCACATATTCAGCATCAATCAGCTGCTGTATTCACCGACTGCAGTGAACAATGAAGCTGCGTCTGTTTGCTGCCGTCCTACCTGAGCTGCAGCCAGCGCACTCTTGTGGTCCTCTAGTGTCAGTGCCAGCTGGTCGTGGCTTGCCTTCAGGTCCTGATGCTGAACCTGAACACACAAGTGCAACCAAAGAGCAGGAATGAGCCATTTGTTTTTATGTAAAGCTTTTTAATTAAAAAAAAAAAAAAAAGACTAAAAAAATCTGTTCTCACCCGTGCATCTTGTAGCTGTATATGAATGTCATGGTGGGCTTTCCTCAGCTGCTTATTTTCCTCCCTCAGGTTATATACATTCTCTGCAATTAAACACAGAAAAAACAGTCACGGTGAACATGCAACTAAACAGGAAACACATGAAACAAGGACAGGAAACTGCAAAGCATTTGCAAAGATGATGAGAACCACTTGTATATTTTCATGTTTCTTTTTTTTTCTCTCCTTCTGACTAATGTTACAAACCCTTGTCCCATTTGTGTATAAATATCTTATAGTAAAATGGCAAATGGAATTCATCTGTTTTAAGTAAATAAGCTTGGAGCATAGGATGAGTTTAACCACATATTGAACGGTAAAATACAACATTTTTTTCTACATCTAAAAGTCTGCACATAAAATGTTTATACCTGGCAAAAGACATGCAGTATTTCACAAAGTCAGAAGATGGAGACAGAGTAAGTGTTAAAAAAAAAGCTTCAAAAATCTGCACCTTTGAGTTGGGTAACTTCCACGTCTTTGGCTTGCTGCAGCTTCTCGTAGCGCTCTCTGTGTTCATCCAGCAGCCGGCCGTGGTCCTCGCCCTGCACTTGGTGCTGCTCCTGCAGATCGTAATACTGCTTCTTCAGATCATCGTGCTGGTTCTGACAGAAGAGACAAAAAACTACTGTCATCAAATGTTTTTCCTCATTGTAATAAGCTTCATCAATGAAAAACTGTCCCTCCCCCCACACACGTATAAACTTTACACCAAAAGGAGGAAGGATGTAGTGCAATCAGGTCAGGGTGAGAGTGTGTTCAAACAAACGATAGGAAGAATATGAGAATGCCTGTGTCTGTGTTTATGACAAGAATAAAGAAACCTGCATGGTAAGCACAAGTGTGTGTGTGTGTGTGTGTGTGTTAGGACTAATATCATCCATACCTTTAACATCTGATGCTGCACTTGTAAAGAGTTGAATCTGCTGCTGGAGTCTTGCTATTTCAGCATAAAGACAAAAGGTTACAAAACTCAGCGACTTTGTGGTCCAGGCTTCCGGTTAGCTTAACAACAGATATTGGTGAAGAGATCAGCTGGAGCTGGTAGTGTCAGTTACAGCAGTACTATTTGCGTAGCACTTCTCGACAACAAAGCAACACACACAGAAAAGTTGTAAATGCTTGATGAGGAGCAGATCAAACAATCTGTAAAGATAAGTTCAAAGATACATTATAACATACCTTCTCCTTGTTTAGTGACTGTTGTGCTTCAAGTTTGTAAACCAGATAATCTAGAAATCAGAACAGATCAGTCTTGTTTTATTTTTTTTTGATGATGAATTTAATTCTAACCAATGTAAGGGAAAATGATGTTGCAGGAGGTGTATTCAACGTGGGTAACAACTCAAGGACATAATACATTCAAGTTCATTTACACATGCAATCTCTGATGAAAATATTCTTGTAAGTATTTAATACAATCTAATATTTGTTCTACCACCAAATGATATGCAGTGTGAAATATGAATTTCCCAAAGCTCCTTTGAATGTACATATACTGCACCTCATGAGTCAGAATTGAGTGTAGATGTTATTTTTCTCACCTTCTTTGGCCTTTTTGTGCTCTAACCTCTCCTTCTGCAGAGACTTCTCCAACCTGGAGCGATGCTCGTACACCACTTCACATATAAAACACAGATGGAGGGAAAGAGAGGGGATAAATAAAAGGAGGGAGGTGGAGAGAGAGGAGATCCAAAGGTTTAGTGAGTGTATAGGCCTCTGTTTGTGCCAGGTGGAAAGTCAAGTAATGAAAAAGAGAGATGTAACACAAACATGTACACTGCAGAAAACACATGCACTCACAAATGCCTAAAATGTTCACTTTTAGAGAGGCAGGCAGAGAGAAGGTATGGATTTTATTGCTGATACAAGAGCCAGGTGTGATATTTATTCAACCACACTGTGATCTCAGGACACGACGGCCACTCCATCAACAGAAAGCTGTGGTATTCCTCACAAGTCTGGTGGTCTAAAAGTATTTACAAATACTTCTAGTTTGTTTACTGCTGCTTATATGCCTGGTGGGCTGTGTCTAAGAGGTTTTTTAAAGTATGATTCACTTTCATTCAATGAAAATACATCAAGTAAATTAACATAATTCTTGGTCTCCATTGCTCCTTCATCTTCATTGTCTGCCCAGACACAATTCTAATCTCTGCCCTGTCCAAAATCTTTCTCACCAGATTCCTCTTTTATTCCCCTCCATTTTTCATTCAAGATTAACTGAAAAGGAAATAATCCCTGTGGGGACTTAGTTTAACAGAAGCGGCAGACTACAGGATGGAGATGATACAGAAAAGTGCATCCAAAGCTTATACAACAGACAGTTACACACACAAACGATGCAACAAATGAATAAACATGATGGCAGGTTCGCAAGCTGCACGTCCTTTTTGCTCTTTTTTCTCAACTTGTTCCATTCAGATGCCCTGCACTTCACTGCTTCTGTTCTTTCGGATAGCTTCAAAACAGACCTGAGCCTAAATAATCTACAAAAACACACTTTGTTGTGTTTGTGTGTATTGTGACAGAGGGGAGATTCAAGTAACAACCACCAAACACAAAAGAAGAAGCTTAAAGGAGATGAGGAGACAGCATTTGAATTTAAAATTGAATATAATGGCTTAAAAGTGAATAAACATATTACTGATTTTAAATCTTTTTTTTTTTTATTTAAACACATTTTTCCTGAGTCAAATGCAAATTTAGTTTTCATCATTCATATTGAGCTTTTATTCCCCAGATTGTAACCGGAGGCTACTCATCTCTTCCACACGTCCACTTCTCTGCACTCGGTCTGTAGAGGCTTATGACACAGTTCAGTTGTGCATTTGTGACTAACGTTGTTTTAAAACCCTTTCTGCTCTTCAAGTGCAGTTTTACTGACGTAGTATTACTGTACTGGATCTGCAAATGCTTTCTGGTGATAAGACATTTTTAACCTACATATTTAGTATTTGATCTACTTCCTGCGTGTTACACTAGTCATACTTTATACATTCAAAATTGGCAAGTAATATTCACATTTAAACAAATCATTATGAACACTACATAGTAATCACACAGCATTTACTACATGGACCCAATAAGATTTTATGAGCCAAGCGTCATTCAAGTCTTTGGTTTTATTATTTTATGTGAAGCATTTTGTAACTTTGTGTCAATAACAGTAACTCCCATCAACACTTTGGTAAGAAACATGCTCTGTCCCCTTAATACACTTCTTGAACAAATGAAATGAGGTTATGAACAATCTCTCATGTTAAAATAATTTGGCTCTGATCCCTTATTGTGGTTTTGATGCAACCTGTCATTCATCCATCTTAAAAAAAAATAAAAAAAATACTTGGACCATGACTACTAGGTCATCACTTCTTCCAGTCTCTTACATTTTCTCTCTCCCGCCTTGGGCAATTTGGGCAGTCAAACTGATGATGTGACTATTTTTCCCTTTAAGTGCCAACTCAACAGATTCCAGGATAAACTGTTAACTATACAGAACAATCTTGTAATAATTTCATGAGTGGAAGAAGAGTAAAAGCTTGTAGGAGAGAGAAGCAGATGTAGGCACAGAGAATAAGTAAAAATGAAATGGAGAGTGAAGCAGAGGGAAGCTCACAGCAGTGAGGCGGCCACAAAGAGGACAGACATAAACAGACAAACCAGGAGAGACTGAAGGGAAAGAGACGGTCATGGAAACACACAAACCACAATAAGAGGGTGAGACACAGACTTGGTATTAAAAGGTGCAATAAAGCAACTAATGGCTACTCAAGCTAATACGGGGCAAACATTAAATTCAAACTGATTAAATAGCTTGGTGCTTATTTAATGGAAACATTTTAGTGTCTAATAACGTGGAAAATGTCTCTCTCGCTTCATCTGGTTTAAAGCAAATTAGCTCGGTTCAACAATGGCACATTATAATAAGGGATTTTGTTTAACAAACAGTGACGCCACAGCTTTGTTAACTCAATCTGACCTTCACGGACAAACTGCCCTATCTGGTGACACTGTGTTTTTTTTCTCCCGCGACACCAATGCTGTCACTACCGTCGTCAACATTCGTTATTGTCTGCACCCGGGTGTTGCCATAAATGGGTATTTCCAATGTACTGCACTTTATGTTGCATTAAGTGAACGTGTGTGTATGTTTTATGTCAATGTCTGCTCTTTTGTATATAGAAAGATGCTGCCTTTCAGTGCCTTCAGTGTTTATTACCTGATGTCATTCATATAAAGTTTATATTGCCGCACTTACTATTTTTGCACACTGTGCTGTGTGGCAAATAAAAGTAATTTCATTGAATTCATGCAACCAACTGCACTAGTTGTTTACTGATATAACACTGGAAAATAACATGACGTTTGAACTTTATGTTGATAACTTGGCTGAAATCCAACAGACTCCAAAGAACTGTCTTTCTAAATTCTTTCTTTTCTCTGAGCTTAATCAGATGGACGTTGAGCCACATCAGATTAGGGAGGTTTTATTCTGCTTGTTGCAAGCTCTGTACCCTCTCAGTTGTGCCAAAGATGAGGCCATGCTGCTCAGCTCAGCTCATACCACACCACACACACACCCTCTCTCTAGGGGACAACACGAACAAGTTGGGCAACAGCTACAAAGAAGCTACAGTCTAAAAAAGGGATGTCATCTGAATGTGCTTCTGAGTTATTGAAACTCACTAATATTGCTACAAGGCAAATTCAATATTAACATAATGTTTCATTTAGAAACTCAATTTGCTTCACATAAACATAACAAGGATAAAGATTAAGAGAGAAGAATAAATTAATTGCAAATTTAGTTAAAGACATTAAAATGCATGTTCATTTACTTCCTTTCTCCTTTTCTTTCCTTTACATCCACTAAGGCGAAATGTGACAACAACGCCCTATCTCGCAATGTTGAGGAAAGTGGTCAAATATTCCTGTATCTGCCCCTTTAACCGGATCCGCACCAGAATTTAATATTTATTGCGTTTACTGCTGACAAACAAACAAACAGACACAGGCGAAAACATCATCTCCTTGGTGGAGGTAAAAATTTTTTTCAACCCAGCTCAAAGTAACATCCGACCAATGTAACTACAAATATCCAGAGGCAAAGACCACCACTTGTTGCTGTCTCAGGGTCGACCGTTCCCACAAATGAAACGCTTCCACACACACAAACCGGACCTCAAAGAGCACGGGAAGGAACATTTATTGTTTGAAGTTTTTCCCCTCAGAGCACTGAAACATTTCCCTTACAGTTCAGTTTAAGTGCATCGTCAGAGCGAGAACAACAGAGTTCTCTACGGTGGTGACCTTTACTGGCCTACTGGTTTAGATGTGGAGAAGATTGGATCGGTTAGAGTTGTGGACAGTGAATACTATCAATCGCGGGTGGAAATGGGCTGCGGGTTTTTGTCTGTGCTGTGTTTGTGTGTGTTCTCACTCACACTCCCACCGCACCACTGAGCACACACACAGAGGTCCGGTTCAATTTAGAAGGAAGTGAGAGTCAATACAGATCTTAACTTACTCAAGTAATGCAGAAGGTGTTGTGTACATGGTTCCTTTGGGGCTTGTGTATTCATTTTGCCTGGTTGATCACAGAGCTTAAAGTGTGTACACTGTAATGTTTAGTGTTTTCATCAGGTAATCTGACTCAATCCTCTCCACATCTAGGTCATACCCTGCACCGGGCCAGAAAAACTTGTAAAACCTCATGATCTGAGTCAGGATCACATATTTGGTCATATAAACATAATATGTATATTCTTAAAATTCCAGCGAGATTGACAAATCAATGTTTTTGTGAGTTTACTTCACAGCTTTCATTGCACTACAGCTCAAATCCTACTACAATATGTACATATCAAGGTCAACATTCCTGAGTTTCTCATAGTAATCACAGTTACTTTATTTTTATCTTTCACTCATAGGAGCAGGCAGAGCAAGCTTGCACAAAGCTTCTACCGAAACATATTAAGGGTTTCAAACTTCCTCCTCCTGTGTCAGCTTTCCTCCAACCTCCTACTTGTAAACACAGCCCCCACACAGGTACCTTTATACCCGGTAATTACATATTTAAACATGTGTAAACTAGACTAAAAAGGTGGCCTGAGTGGTGTTGAGTCTTTCTCCCTGAAATTGTAACTCAGTTAATCTGAGAAACCTCAGACAGGTGGGAACTTGGTGACAAATTCACCTCCTCATTGACCAAAATAATGGAGTTCAAGATAAAGTTTGAAGGACAGAAAGATCCGGACATTTGAGACCCCTAGAGAAGTGGTATGAAGAGTTCTGTATGCTAAGGCCAGTCCCTCTGAGCCCATTGATCTCACAAAATCCCACTAACAAAATTTTGAAATAAAAGACTAGATTTTACCTATTTACTAATCTAATATTCACATATACTTTGAACGTAGACAGCGGTGTGTTCTGTTGTGACTTGATTTATTTTGGATTCAAGTCATGCCTTGCATTTTTATTGTTCATTTCTTTGGCATTCATATTTAGAATGCACTTTGCATGACACAAATCTAACCTTTTCATTTTTAATCAGGAGATACAAAAACCCAAATCGGGTCAAATACTTCTGTTTAATCCAGGGATAATTTGCATCTCTAACTCAAACAACAAAAGTGTTTACTCCCGTTTGTCATGGGTTGCGACGAGAGCATTCATTATAATAAACAGCAGGTGACAACTGTTGGCGATGTGAAACATTTTACAGCGCTCATTTTCTGTTTTATCAATGTTTTTGAAAATGGCATAGAAACACTGATATGTGTGTGATTGTGTGAGGGGGTGAATGGGTGTTAAATCACAGGGACACATTTCTCAGAGTGCAGGCATAACCACAAAGTGCCAGTTGATGCTTTTAAATGACTAACAACTGCCAGCCTGTGGTTATGGTGGGCAACAGAGAATCAATACAGCCCCCAAGCTATGGCCCACCTCTAAATATAGGACAGAATCTGGAGTGGCCTGAACCCTGTGATTGGTTGAAGGACCCATTGCTTCACAATGAGAGAAGGGGTGTGGTGCACAGACTGAACGATGCAAATGGAGTTGAGCAATATCGCTTTCTTTGAACTGTCAAATTCTACTGCAACGCTCTCTGTTTCTGGATATATCAGATTTACTGCATCTTCTGAAAAAATGAAATTGAACCCATTTGTATAACATCGACCTGAAACTGACTAAAAGACACTACTGAGCTAGCTTTGTTTAAGTAGAAGTTGACATAATAAAAAGAATGAGAGGAAAATCTCACATTTCTCATATAAAGCTGCCTACTTGGAAAGCCACTGCTATTCATGACACCTTATAAAATCAAATTTACTGTTTACAAGCGCACATTTGTCACAGATTACTTCACTAGACAATGAAACAAACAAAGGCCTAAATCAATGTGCATGGATACACTTTTACACACATCTTATGTGTAAAGGTTTATGGGCAACAGTACGGTAAGTCTGCTGGACCCAAGCTGTGGATGGTGGGGGGAGATAACTGCTGGTTAGGTGGATCAAAGGCTGCATTCAATTATCAGGTCCAGAGTCTTAGCTCAAACCCTGACACTCTCTTTGACTCTCTGATGTGGGCACAAACTTTGTTTTGAATAGATGAAGCCATATAGCAGTGAGTGTTCTGCCTGGCATAATGGCACGACACAAAACCTCACATCCTGTCCGCACAGCAGAGTGCGTTTAAGTGCTTTTATAGGGAGGGAGTAAATCAGAGAGGGTAGGACAAGACGGTTAGATCTTTTGTAGAGCTGCTTTGTGTAAGAAGTTCCTGAAGTTAGGTGTTTAAAACATGCTGCTAGTAATAAAGGGGATTATACTGTAGATCAGTGTGTGTGTGTGTGTGTGTGTGTGTCTGTGTGTGTGTGTGTGTGTGTGTGTGTCTGTGTGTGTGTGTGTGTGTGTGTGTGTCTGTGTGTGTGTGTGTGTGTGTGTGTGTCTGTGTGTGTGTGTGTGTGTGTGTGTGTATGTGTGTGTGTGTGTGTGTGTTCCTATCTTCCACAAATGGCAATAAAGCAAACAGATTAGTCAATATTTATGGATTTTTGACTGTTGATGTTGTGGTTTGACTGGAAGTTATTATGTTTCTTGGCTGTTACTAAATAACTGCTGGCTCTATGCCAACTAAGCTTAACAACCACATCACATTTTGATGTGTAACCACAAACACACACTAATCTAAGTACAAATAAATTGGTTGATCCAACATCAGAATTTAAAATAAAAGGACTGGAACATGAGCAACTTTCAATATGTTTTTTATATATACACAACTTACTGTTAGCTATTCATGTTTAATGATGCAGTAATAGGGTTAAATGCTTATTGTCATATGTTGGTCAAATTACTGATTGGGTATTTAATCAAGAACAGGTGTTTGAATAAGATGTCTACACTGAAAACGATTTATATTCCGTCCTCTGTAACAACACAGCCACTATCAAGATAATACAAAACTCTTTAACAAAGACTAATGGCAAGATTAAAACCAAAACAATACCATGTTCAGTAGGGTCACGGCAGTGTGCTGAACCACTCACATTATCAGGGTGGTAGCTAAACCATTTAAAGACTTTTAAAAAGTTCAACCTGTATGTTACATTATGCCTCGTCAGTGTTCCCTTTCCCTCCTCTGTTTCTCCAGCTGTGGCTGGCAGAAGCAGATGTGCTGGCTGACCTCGTCACTTTAAAGTATAGCCTACTAATCTGTATACTGTTGAGGTGAGCCTGGGGACACAGCGACTACAACCAGGTGTGTGTGTGTGTGTGTGTGTGTGTGTGTGTGTGTGTGTGTGTGTGTGTCACAGCCTCCAGTCTGCAGTAAACCTCACTCATGAGGACTGAGGGCTCTAATTTCACACTTTACAGTGGACTGCAGGACACAGAGCTGACCAACCACATGAACCCTTCTGTTGAACTTTAAAGCCCAATCTGCTCAGACCATTACCTGGTTTATCACAAGATTAGAAAGCCACCTAGGGTCAAAGGTCAAGGACAGGCACTTGGTAAATCAGTGCCTGGCTACAGTATAGCTACAGTCCAGTTAGGTCAGACACACTGTTTCTTCTATTTTTGCATTTGACACACACACTTAACAATTAAGGCTTTATTCTAACACAGAAACACACACAACAAAACGTTAAAAGGTTTGCGTTTTAAGGTGCCAACAGTGCTGACAGGAAGCCGAACTGATCTGTGTTTCGTAATGAATTGAATTAAGTCCTCTGGTTTATTTTAAGGGGATAGGCGTTTGATAGCGACTAATAAAATTGCAGTTTTATTAGTCTGGCCTGACATTAGTCACATTCAAAAGAAGCCAGTTCTCACGCTTCTCTGGCACCTGAACAACAGTCAATCACCTCACTATCACTGTGTTTACCTTGGAGCTGAGCCGAGAGTGACTCTTGATGTTGCTGGTACTTGAGTGCCATCGCCTCCGTCCTCTTGAGCTGTTTGTGCATCTCATACGATATCATTCCCCCGTACAACATCCCGCAGACCACCGTGAGCAGCAGGAGACACTGGAAGATCCTCCGCTGCCTCCGGGAGCACACCCCGTTTCCCATGTTGGACCCGCACCCCTCCCCGCTGTCTGCGCGAGAAAGCCCCGTCTCTGCTGCTGGAAACTTCCGACTCAACTTTTTTACCTCCCGGTGAAGACTGAAGAAGCCGCCCCCTCCCTCCCCTCACTCCCCGAGCATTTCCAGGCAGAAAAAATAAACGCTAATATTTGCCTCGGTGTACATTATTTTAGCATAGCACCATCCATTCACGACTCTCCCCTGTAACTTCAAAGTAGCCGCTCAGATTTTCGCTTGACTTCACGTCAAACTCCGGCTGTGCGCTGCTGAAATGCGCGACTAACCGAGGCTGACGACTCCCGTTAGCGTTCTCTTTTACCTTTCCAGACTTTCGCTTTTCCGACGCAATTCAAAGAAGATCATGGAAAAAGTAAACGCTCAAGTCCCCGACGCGGCCTCCATAGCACCTTTAACTTTAGTTACGTGTCAGCCCAGCAGCTGCCTGCTGCCATCCAACTGCAACTCTAAAGGAAGTCCCTCCTCCGGGCAGCCATAAATTTCACTACTCCCGCCCTCAGAGGCACACATTTAATCAATTGGACGCCAGAGAGCTCGATCAAAAAGTGGCTGGGAATGAGAGGGTGGAGAGTTTGGAGACTTGTAGTTTTCCCATTACAACGACCTGTTGTAATCCTATGATAATATCTTAAGATGCTGCGCAAATAGTGTGTAATCAAAGCTACAGAATACCTACAGGAGTATTATAGACATGAACACAGTGTGTGAACCCACAGGAGCTTTGAGTCACACACCAGAGCCAAAAGAACCTTTTACAGATTACATGTTAACTTCAGATAGTTATTCTTATTGAAATTAAATAATTATGGCATTAGGAACGTACTGAAAAGTCACAGTACAACCCAGCATACAAGTCATTTAATATTTGGTTACACTTCTCCCTTCAGAATAATTATTTACCCATTACAACTTTGGGTGCATATAAGACATAAAATCATAATTATGATAAAGTAAATAAACGTACGTATGCTCAGTACAGATTAATTTTTGTGGAAATTGTTCATCAAAAATGTATTACGTTTGCATGACCATGTTCTCTTTTCCTTCTCATCAAATCAACTCAAACAGCTGAAGATACACTGCAGTTTATTCAAGTTTTGTACAATATGCATACAGTTAATGACCATGTTTTCTATAGTTATTATCAGATGACAATATAAGTAAACATATCCTGGCACAGAGCACAGAATTACAATATAACTTAAATGCATCTGACAATAATGAAATGTTGTGTTTAAAGAAAATAAATACATATTAACAATACAGTGACACATTTAAAGTAAAAACTATAGTCATAAATAATACATGTTCTACAGTATAGAGAGATAATATATACAATAAACAGGTACTTTTTTGTGCTAGACTGAAAAAGTAGATCAGACTCATTTAAAAGGAAATGAGAAGGGATCAAAGTATAAATCGTGCAATATAAAAATAATTTGTAAAAACTACATTTACTGGTAAAAATTTTTTTGTAAATAAAGCTAGACCAAATCCCCCAATATCTACATAAATTCACATTATTGTATCACCTGATTGGCTACGAACAGAAAAAAGGTCAGTCATGTTGCTCGGTTTTTTGTGGTAATAATGACCAACATATACTTATCAACTGTTATTTTTGGAAACATGGTAGTTTAGATGTAACCAAATAAATTTTATATTTCAATTTCAATAGTCCCATCTTTAAATGCAATACCCAATTAATTTTCCCACACACGAAGCACTGTGCTCCAGTTAGAAGCTCATCATGCACACTGGGAGAAATAAATCATTTTCACATTACAATGAGGTAGAGAAAGCTGCAGATCTCTGCAAGTGCTTTAGTTACATAGCTGAATAGGTAAAACAGTGACAACCCCACATAAATATTGAAAATTTGGCACAACGTTGAGCAGATATTAGTTTTTTGTATGATCTAAACGAGTATTTGCTTTACATGAACTGCTCATCAGTAAGACAACTGTTTGTTCTGTTTTGTTCTTGCTCTCCCTTGTTGTCATCTATTTGTTTTGTGTTATTCTTTAATGAAGCTATTAAGGGAGAGGTGTTTTATAAATAAATTTGATTTGACAAGAGCAGCTTCTCTGCTTTAAACCTGATGACAGAGTATAAACACATTAAATGTGCAAACGGATTGTGAAGCTCATTACTTTAACAAGTATTTCAATAACATCCTATTAGTGTTCCTATTCTTAGATCTGTCTTAAATACAATATTAAAGAGTCATTTCTTTAATGAATGTCAGGAAAAGAAAGAGGATCCTGTAACAAAGAAACTTAACAGTTAATGCTATTCAAAAGGTTTCACTGCATTTTCTACAAAAAACTGTCACTTAAATAAATCACTGTCAATAGTTTAGAAATCTAACTCAATTTAATTTTAAAATAATTTAGTTTTGAAATGGATATACAATGCATTTATATTAGTTTAAAAAGGCACAAACAAATAATTTCTCAAGGAAAGCAGAGAAATGCATCATCCATTTGAAGTAGCAATGAGGCCGTGGTACACCTGCAGTCAAATGAACATCTTTCAGGTGGAGGCATGGCCTCTGCAGACATTTACATCCGGTCTATGTAATGTCATGCAAACTGTGAGTCTAGTGATCTTATGTTTTGTTCATGACAAATTCCTGTTAGCAAAACAGCTAATCGTTCAGATATTGAACCCAGGAAGACCAAACTATCTGTCAACTTCACATTAAAACATGAGTGTTGGTTCCTCGATTACTGTGCTCACACAAACTCTGTATTCTATATCACTAAAATACCAAAGACGGTGAGAAAAAGACTAAATCCTGCATCCTAATATAATACTGCCATCCGCTACAGCAGTATTTACCCTGTCAAAAATGTGGAAATGTAACAGGCACTTGGTTCTTCCATAAAGCTTGTATTTTGTGAAGACATCTGGCATAAAGCTTCCTCCTCTGAGTGTGTGTGCTCCCCAGTGGCAAATAAAAATACAGTTATTGCATTCAAAATGAAGTCAGGAAATCCCGGTGGAATAATTAATCAAAAACAACAGTGCTCATAACCAGAAAGAGACTAGAGTGATGCCGACACGGCTGCCTGAAGAGACACCGTGAAATGTCTCTTAAGTGGTGTTTAATCTAACTTACTCTCCAGTGTTAAGAAAAATGTCTTGACCTCATCTTACATGTACAGTAAAGCACAGAGGAGATGATAATACTGTGGGTCTTTTTAAGAGCAAAAAATCAGACTGCAAAGATGCACTTGAATTACCTGCTGGCTCCATTGGTTCCCATATTTACAAAATGCTTCTGCAATGTCTCTGTTTTCTCAATGTATTATGAATAAATCAATAATCAAAAAGAACCCAAAAAATGGTGAAAAACAAAGTGCAGAGTAACCGCTCCTCTCTTGACTAAGTGGTCCAAGTTGTTGTCCATTTTGTGTCCTATAACAAGGACAGTTCTTCTTCCTCACACAGAAGTGGCTCCACCTCTGGGACTCTGAGTAGCATACTGCTTTTAGCAGAGTTGTTCTTCCTGTACATGACGAACTGGGCAGTCACCTGACAAGGTTAAGGCCCATACCGAAACATGAACAAGATACTCTTTCCTCAGGCAACTACTGAGGTTTTAATTTTTTTCTAACCTGAAAATGATTGTATTACTCTTTTTGTCAGTATAGTTACTCAGTCCAGTAGATAATCAATGCAGCTTTCTAGCTATTCCTTTGTCCAAATGAAATAACTACCATCTCAGACGGATGTAAGGTTCTATAAAGTACACACCGATGCATGCAAACAGTAAATAAATACTTAATTGCCTCAAATGGCTGCCTCCTATGTCATTAAGTTGCACTGTGCTGATGCAATTCATGATTTGCTCATGTGATATGTATAATAAATTCACATCTGTGGTAAATACAGAGATCATTCAACACAAAGACAATGCAAGGACAACAACAATGTGCCATGACGTTACAAGCAACATTTATGCCTGAATATGGCTTCAAATAAAAGTTTAGGCTGTGAGCAAGTATTCAGACAGCTACACTGGAATTACAGTGAGAATTTAAACTTGTAGCAGGTGCTATTAGAACATATGATGGGCTTGGTACAAACAGCTTGTGGCTGGACTTTTGATTTAAAGGATACAAAGAAGTCAAGTATGAGGACTCCCAGGCTGCCAATGAGCCAGGCCAGATGTTTGATGATGAACGTCTGTTTGGAGCCCCTCAGTGCAGGTAGGACCACAATGACACTCAACCCATACGTCCCATTGCCCATCATGGCCAGGGCAAACAACAGGTAAGAGGTCCCCTCTGTAGACTGTCGCTGGAACTAGAATGGGCAGAGTTAACAGTATTTCAATAACAGACAAAAAAACAACAGCACGGGGCCTGCCCTGGACTTGTAGGTATTATTCAGCTTCTTAGTGGTACTTCTTCTTTACTTTAGCATTCTACTGTTACTGGAACCTTGCCTTCTGGCGTACATGTGTGAAAACCCACAGTCAGTGAAAAAGAAAAAGATTGGGAACAATATGTTAACCACAAGCCAGGTTTCTGTTTCACTAACAGTGAACATTTCTTTTCTGTGTACTTGCACTTCAAACAGATACAGGCCACCATAACAAGATCAAAGGATAAGGCTGGTGTTACTTTATCTTTTTATTGCCATCAACAAATCCCTTGAAGACACAATAAACAACAATAAAATCATTCTGCTAACTGGTCCTGTATTGTCCATGGCATACCGCTGGACACTGAAAAGAAAAGATTACACAGATTACACGGTTAGTTTATTCTAACGGCAGTTAAAGACAGAGTGTCATTAAACATAAACAGCAAGAAGCATGTTCTGTCACTGTACCTGAAATATACTTCATCACTTCTTTTCACTTTCTTTGTAAGTGACCAGGAAAGACAGCATCTATCCAATATTCTGAATCCAAAGCAACATTTTAACCTTGGCTGATTAAAGTAGTTCAGTCTGTCCCCAAAAACATGAAATGCTGAAATGTTGCTTGGCAACATGTGAATGCCCTGTAGATTACTGCGTGGGCTGGACCTAAGCAATACTTACAAAGTGTTTGCAATAGAAATACTGAGAGAATAATGAATAATAGCTATTTTTTTTTTTATTATTCCACCAAACTGGATGACTGACTTGCCACTTGGAATGATATGGTGAAAATGCTTTGGACTTTCAGCTGAAAAAAAAAACAAACATGTTTGAACATGCAGGTCTTTCTTTCCCCAGGGTAAACCTGACTTAAATGATTTATAATAGTCAGGGTCTGCGTGCTTGTGTGTGTGTGTGTTTGTATGTGCACGCCCACAAGTTTCTCTTGCACTGGCAGCCAACAAAGACAATCCCCTCTGGTGATTAATAGCTGCATCTGAGCCATGTTTCTTTGGTACAATGGCACCATTGTCTTCAATGCCTGGTTCTCATTTTTAACACACATACTGTACACACAAACACACAAATCCCACCTCCCTCTTCAAACACACACGGTCCCTGTTTTTGACTAACTGACATATAATAGGTACAGTTTTTCACGGACCCCCTGGGATGGGAGCCCGAGAAAGCTGTCCAAGATCTCCCCTTAGGATGGTGCAGTTCACACGCAAACCATGGAAACAACCTCCACATCTCAACGGAGTCAACAAACAAATTGCCACTTACATTTTTATAGAGTTGGGGGAAACGGGAGCAGAGGTAGAAGATAGATGCCAGGTATCCACATATATAGCCAGTGATTTCCACTGATTTAGAGGTAGTTGGACTCTGGCAAAGATGACCACGCAGAGAGAAGGAGAGAGAGACGAAAGGGTCAAAATGTTGCACCTACACAAGAAACAGTACAACCGCATTCTCCCATCAGAAGTGACTTAATGTGTTTCAAATAAACCTGAAAATATGGAACAAACTAACCAAAATCTGATTAATGAAAATGTAAATCTAACCCCTGAATACATTCAAATATGGACACAAACATATACTACACACAATTTACTTACCTGGGTGTCTAAGCTTACACTATTGTCTATGATGAGCTTGGGTAAAGCCAGGAGGACTAACGTAGCAGCACTACACCACATGAAGCACAGCCACTTCAACACAGGGCTCTCTGCAGGACAAACACACAAGAGAACTGACAGTGAAGACAGAGTTTTAAACCAAGTGCAACATCATAATTCCTAACATGCATATGCAGGGCTGCAAGCAGTCTTTGAAAGGCTCAACATGTGTATGTGTCATCAAGTAGTTTGGAACTTTTGGCTTTGGCGCTAACCACTTGTAAGTACATAACAACTGGAAATGTCTCCGTCATCACTGCAGTAAGCAGGTGGCTGGTTTGTTGACTTCATACCGTCACAGCAACAATTTTCCATTTGAGTTGTGCTGATCTCATGTATGGAACTATGATTTGTAGTCTGACCAATCCTGGGTTTGTTTTTTAACACCGTTACTGACATTGATATTTGAGTTTTAAAAAATCTGATAACAATATATCAGCCAATAATAATTTCTTAAAAAATAAATACATTAGCAAACTATCTTGAGATCCTTTAGATTAATTATTTTAAATAGCCCTGACCAAGATACAGACTGAGCAGGAAAGTTTCAGCACATTCTATTAGTAACCTTACCTGTTAACTTGAGGATTAGAAACAACATTATCACATAACATTATAAATATATGTCTGTAGTCCATGTTCTCATTCCTGCTGCCAGCCTACAGTCAGACAATAAAACCATAGTCACAGTATTTATATCATTGCGAGTATTAGTGATAAATTAGCAGTATTCCCAGCTTTGCAGGTTTTCATTTTAGATATCCAGTGTACTGCAACTGAACTCAAGTTTTATCATGACTTAACTTATAGCTGACAAGCCCTGGTCTTCATTTTTTATGTCATGTAGTTCAAGTTCTTGCTATGGAGTCAACAGTAGGAGGCACTTCCTTCTTCATGGTTATGCTATTCATTAATCTGGAGGGTTATGATTTGGTTGACTTGCACAGCTCTGGCATCACTCACCAGTTCCTTTACTCAAGATAAGAGAAAATGTCAGAGCTTACTTCTGCTGGAGCTGTTCTTGATCTTATAGTAGAGAAACTGGGAGATGAGGATCAGGTCTGTGAAGATGTAGAACACCACTGTGACTACCTGAGAGAAGGACAGGGAGGGGAAGAGAAAGAGAGAAGGCAAACAAAAATGTTATGTTGTCCTATACATAATTTCAAGTGCAATATAGAGATAGGCTGTGAAGGCTATACCTTCATGAACAATGTAGTTGTCAGTACTGTTACACAGAGCGGGTTAAGTCATTTTCAGTTCAACCAACCAAAGATAATGGTCCCCAACACTCAAAACCTCAGGAACCTTGTGCCATAAACATGGTGTCAGAATCATGCAAGATGTTTTAAATGAGTGACCTAAAAGTGAAATAAGTGAACTCAACGTGTAAAAAAAAAAAAAAAAAAAACCTCTAGCAAAAAGGCCTGAGCACAGTTTATGTGTAATATAATAACTCACTTATTTTAGAAACAAGAAAGCAAACTGGCAGTAAATCAAATATGTCTTTGTTATCATCTGTGAGTTACTAACATCACACAAAGGACACTAACAACAGGGTTCACAGTAAAGAAACACACAGTGGACAGCCTAACCCAACCAGACTAGGTTGTAAAGTGCGTGTCTACCTGAATAGGCAGCTGGCTAGTGAGGTAACAACCTGCAAAGCTGGTCAGGTCTCCACTGAAGAGGAAGAAGAGAAAGCCAAAAGACATGGCCTCCTCCACTTTACCATTTCGATAGGCCTCATAGACCTGCCTAGATAGATAGATAGATAGATAGATAGATAGATAGATAGATAGATAGATAGACAGATAGACAGATAGATAGACAGATAGATCACACACTTGGGTATGAGTTTTACCATGTAATTCAACATTTTATTATGGTGGTGAACATCACAATCATTACTTACGGCAATGTGGACAGCAGAAAACAGAACATGGATATGAGCCCTATCACCACGCTGCAATACTCCCACACATTATCCACACACTCCTCCAGCAGGTACAGGATCCATGGCGTCCCGTTAACACACAGCGGCCTGCCCAGCGATGGAGGGGTCCAGTTGACGGCGGCCACGTCCACACTCTTCCCGGGGAAGCGCGCGGTGGCCATTGGGAAGGGTGAAGGGGGACTGGCTCTGTGCTCCTGCTGCTAACGCTGCTTCCAGTTTGTAAGTAGATGTGTGTTTATTTTGGCGACAAGGACCAAACCCGATGAGAGAAGGTCTGACACCACTGTCTACCTCATAAAATGGATGTATGAAGACTTGGTCTTTCATCTGACGAGTCTGCAACAGATAAAACAGACATAGATATACTGCTATCACTTAAAAAACATCAGTGAGAAGTGTTACAACACATCCCAAATCAGTAAATACACATATATTTCGAGATTTACTAAATGTGCTTAATTTGCACACTCAAACCATTCTAAAAAATAAGCACCAGATGTACATTAGCTGAGGACGCTGTCATTGTTTAGGAAAATTTGCATAGACTTGAGGAATAGATGCTAACAAACAAAGATGGCTAAAAATTAGCTTCCAATAACGGCTCACCTGACAAAATGGACTCGTAGCGGGCTGCAAACCGTTTGTGGGTCTGTGTAAACCTCACCCACATCCTCACACCTCACCTACCCAATAATAATAATAAGGAAGATGACATATTAGCTGCTAATGTTATCGTTCATCACTGGTGGTCCACTAGTGTCAGCACATCCTGAATGACTCCACAACATCCTGTGAGAATTTTCAAAATAAAACCCGTACACATTTCTATACCTGCAAAATACTAGTTAGGTAACCATGCCTTGTGATTAGTTTGTGATAAACAATATGTCATTGCAACACATACAAATACAATATCTCATTCACGCATAGGCCTAGATGCATAGCACTGACTGTATAAAGAGGAGATGATTCCATTGTGGTAGCACGAGGAACAATTAGACAGCATCTGTTTGTAAAATGGACATTGACAAGATAGATAAAATCCTTCAAATCTGTCTGTAGCTATGATTTGTAGATATTGCAATGACCTGTGTGTGAGAAAAACACAATACACAGCATATAATTTTTCATCGACAAATGCCTGTATATGTCATAATGCTTAATAGTATATAATATTTTAGTTTAGTTTAATAATTTTGTTCATCTCAGTAGAAGTGTCTTTTTTCTGATGTGCTCCACTCACTATAAGCCTTTTAAGGGTGCCCTTTTATTTTGAAGGCAAAAGTGCCTCTTCTACCTCTATTATCTTCACGCGGCAGAAACTGAACACATTTTCCAGCTTCACTTGCCATGGGTGATGCCTGGGGAAATACCACCATCTACTGATCACTTAGACCGATCAATAAATACATACACAAATGCTACTGAGGTGAAAAAACATATCACTTTAGTCGTACATTCATCACATTGTTTTCCTTCCTTATGATTTATATGCTATTATTGTAATGTGGCTGCTGCTACTGCCAGCCTACTATCCCCTCTAATACTGATAACACTAGTAACAACACTAATAACAATATGTTTAATATGTTTGAGAAATAAAGTGACTTTTGGCCAGTAACTGATAACTTGTGCTAGACCCATTATCTTTTTCTTCTGAGCCCCATATAGCTAAGTGGTTGCTGAAAACATCAAACATTATGTCTAAGCTGGGAGAGGGGATTAGGGATAACTCTGGTTTGGAAGACAGCCATGAAGTCATTAGGCCTCATGTATCCTCTCTCCTTTCTCCTCTATGTGGTACCATGCTGCGTTTAAGATCTCCCTGTTAAAGAAAGATTATATCATAATTTCAAGTATGAGCTTAGGCTGCTTGGCCAAGACAAGAGCAAAATTGACCTGGTAACAAAAGAGTTTGATTTATTTTAGAGCAACTGAAGAAAATTGGAATGATATTTGGATTAATTTTTTGGAGATACAATTTAGTGTCAGTTAAATGTTTCCATTAGAAAAAAGAAAAATGACTGAAACATACTGAACTGAGCAAACCATATTAGATGCATCTTTTTTCCTACCATAGGTTGTGAGGCTTCCGTGCAGCCTAAACCATTCAAACAAATAAATGAAGAGTGAATTGATGACCGTGAATTCTGTCCTATACAGGTTTATTTAGTCTATATCTTAACCTTATGTGGCCTAAAGTATCTTACCTCGTTAGGTCACAAAAGTCATCCTGGCAGCCTACTTACTATATTTCCCGAGAGTGCTTGAAGGCAGCATCCCAATCTGTCCCTCCCTCTATCCACCTGTTGCGCCGCGCGCTCGGGCCGTCCGCAAGATGGCGCGCTTTCCAATTGTGGCCGGCGACGAGGAATCTAAGGCTTTCTCTGTGAGAGGGGAACTTGAAGCTGTGCAGGGGTTATTTGTGTTGCTATGTGCAGCGTTGGACCGCGGTTTGGAGGTAGCCAACTGAACGGAGCTCCACATTCAGTATCCGTGCGTCCTCGTCCTGAGCGGAGCAGGTAAGCTGTCCGACGCCGTAGGCTAGGTGTTTAGAAATGAATCAGGTTTTGGCTTTGTTGCTGCATGGCACTCTGTCATTGGAGACAGAAACGCGTTGCCGGGGTAAATGCGTGAATGCCACCCACATTCCTTGATGTCGGGAAAGTTGCCTGGATGAGGGGAAAACCGTGCATCAGATACCTTTTACTTATACACAGGGGGAGCGTGCAGGTGCGTTGGAGAGGTGTTTCCGTGGGCTGTTGCCAATAAGCACTGACTGTAATATAGGGTTAACTTGTTAATTATGGCAGTGTATTTGCAGGATACTCCTATCGCCCTTATAGAAATAAAATAGTTCAACTGTAGCTGTTATAGTACAGACACACATCCACACTTTATAATGAATATTTTTCGGTTCTGCTGGAAACATTATGGTGTCCCAGACTACTTATTGACACCTGCTTTACTTCCATGCAGTCGTCTCTCTCTCTCTCTCTCTCTCTCTCTCTCTCTCTCTCTCTCTCTCTCTCTCTCTCACACCCTCTCTCTCTCAGTGTTTCGGTGTAAATACAGTGGAATGTGTCCTGAGAGCTTGAAAGGCGAGTTCAGTCACATTACTCACATTTAGTCTGTCCATTTCTTCCCTCAATACTCTGTCCAAGTCGAAATCTACTGTTGCTCCACCTGTGTGTGTGTGTGTGTGTGTGTGCGTGTGTGTGTGTGTGTGTGTGTGTGTGTGAATGCAGACGGGCTGAAGACTCCTCAAGGTCACAGACTTCTGAGACAGACAGATGTTGCCGTCCCAGTAAGGAAGGACATTCTTGTAGTCAATGTCATTCAAACAGCAGCTTGTAATCCATTTAGTCATTCATGTTTTCAGTCATGTTGTACTCTTGCCAAATCCATCATGTTCAAGGTGGAAGTTGCCAGTTAAGCACAGGGCAGGACAGACGAATGGACAAATGGAGACACTCTGAATCACATTCAGGTGTCATTTAGTGTTGATCTCACTTGCTTCTCTTCAGACTGAGGACCTCAATCGAGTGTGTCATTTATGGCACATATTAATGTAGTATGTAGCTTGCAAGTTTTTAATTAAAATTTTTTCATGTGATTCTGTGTCTGAAAAGGTATATATTATCTTGGAATGAGGACACACTCAGTTTTTCACTTCAGAGATGGTTAAACTGGGTTTATGTGAATTCATCTTGTGCTGATGGCATTTAGGTGTTTTCAGCTACCAAGGAAAGGAAGTTGTCTATATTTTTAGCAAACAAATTGATGTATTAAGACAATGGTTTTTACATTGTATACACCCTCCAAGTGAAAGCAGTGATCCATTGTTCATTTCTTCTATTCAGTTTAGTCACTTACTCAGGACACAAGAAATCTAGATAACGTGGAGGAAGCAGGTTATTAAAAGATTTCTAAACTTAGAAACCTATTAAACATGTATTGAGGATATTTGAAAGCAGCTCACTATTAGGAATGAGGTCCTAATGTTTTTGCGCTGAATGTATTCCTCAAAGCCTCAGTCCTGGGTGAGACCCGTAGTCTATACGCTGAAACCAGAACACGCTTCCGTTCAGCTCTCAACTCCAGACTCTGGGTTTTGGGCTGCGGAAGGCAGCGGGGAGTAATGAATAATGGATGGTTTAGGAAACGTGCGTGGATGTTAGTTGGCTGAGTGTGGCGGTAATGCACTAGTCCAACTAGCACTTCTCTCTGCTATGGAAATCCTCTCAGCAGTCATGAGTCTCACAGGTCTGCAGAGCCAAACTTGAGAGCAGAGAGAACCCTCCCTCCCTCCACACTCTAGACTGGATTCACTGCTATTTGACACAGTTATGCCTGCTGAGACACACACACACACACACACACACACACACACAAACAAACAAACACACAAATTGAAAAAGGGAAAGACGTCAGTACAGCTCAGTCTATAGAGACTTCTATTATTATTATTTTCCCCTATCTGGGACTGAAATTAGTTTCACCTTGGAATCCAGCACGGTGGGTCCCTAAATATATTTCTGTATGACCTATCTGGGTTAGAGCTGAGTTTGAATAGTGTGATTCATTATACTGCTGTTATGGAAAAAAAAAAACTTCTGCTCTGAAGGGGAAACCAAAAGGAATGTGTTGCTTGTCTTTGTCTTATATGATAGTAAACTAAATGTTTTTGGCTTATGAATAATTTGTCGGTCAAAAGAAGACATTTTTAAGACCGTTTGGTCAATTTGGTTGATCGTTTTGTTTAGTCTATAAAATGTCACAAAATTGTTAAATAAAGCCAGACTTAGCTTTATTTAACAATTTTGTGACATTTTATAGATTAAACAATTTTTAGATTAATTGAGAAAATAGATGAAATGACAATGAAAAATAATTATTTGTTGCAACCCTGGTAAAATGCCAGAAAATAGTAAAAAATGTCCACAATTTTATATTCTCATATATAATAAATCCTAACATTTGAGAATAGAATCATTGAAATTTTTCTTGATTTATTTTCTATGAACTGACTCTTTGATTAATAGATTAATCAGCTAACCGTTTCATCACTACATGAACACAGTGTAGGTCTTTGTATAGAGAGCATTAGATTAGAGCCAAAGTGTGTACATTTTGGAGGATAACCACATGTACAGAACCAATATATCATTCTCTGTGTGTGTCTGAACAATTTTTAACTTATCTCTTTGCTATTCATAACATATCTGCTCTTTCCATCCGTAAATGTCACATTAAGTGCTCCTGTGGTCTGCTTCTGTTTGCTCTTATCGGGTCAACAGCGACTGCTCTCAAGAGAGAAAATGAGATGTTAGCTCCCATGCTTTCCCCCTCATGCTCAACCTCTGTTTTCTCCCTCTGTCTCTCTGTCACTCCATATTTCCTACTATTCTGTATTTCTTTATCTCTCACTGGCTTCAGTGTGTTTTACAGTAGCTGTTTTCTACAGCTCCTGTCATACTGTAATTCCCAGTCGTCGCTTCACAGCTGCATAACTGCAGGGCATAAATAATGGAGAACTTTCCCTTTCTTCCACACACACACACACACACACACACACACACACACACACACACACACACACACACACACACACACACACACACACACACACATTATACTATACACTCTCACAATATGTTCCTATGCTAAACCTCAGGGGTCTATCTTCAAGAAGTCTTAACTGAGTCTCTTCTCTGCGGCAGTATGGACCCATTTCCAAAGAAGTCTTTAGGGTGTCTCTTCTT